AATATATTGGTCTCACGTGATCATTGAAGCTTATATATATATATATATATATATATATATATATATATATATATACATAAATATATATATATATACATAAATATATATACACACACATTTGAGAAGTGGTAAGTATTTGAGAAATAAATAAGTAATTATACCTTCATCTGGTCAAGATATGCGGCTTTGACTATGAAATGTCTGATAATTCCTCGCATGGTATGCGGTAGATAGAGAAATAGTTTCATAACTTTTACAAATAGACGACAAAACAAGTGCATATGTGAACCCGTATAGTTCACATATGAACTAATTAACTGATTCACATATATAAACTTATGTGATTCACATATGAACTAATTATTTGTTTGCCGCCTATTTATAACAATTACGAAACTATTCCTCCATTTTTCGTTTAACAAGTTAAAACCACAAATCTTAATAATCAAAGCCACAATTTTTAAACAGTAAAAACCACAATCTTCAACCAACCTTAACTGGTATAAAAGCTAAAACTTTTCAAATAATAGTCACTTCTCAAATCAATCCCCCCACTATTTAGCAACTAATGGCAACTTCACAATCCTTTGGTACAGTGACCTGCTCTTGGGACCACAATTAGATTGTATACTTTTGGTGGTTCTAGGACCACAATCAAAATTACTTGTGGGTCACTACTTGCTTATTGTACCCTCACTTATCCTTCACATCAACTTCATCTTGTACGATTAAAAGGCAAGTAATTACATTAAATGTTCAAGGATACCTATTCTTTGTTAAATGTATACATATTAATATCATCGTATGTATACATATTAATATCATCGTATGTATACATATTAATATCATCGTCGTGTCATGTACGTAGACATCAAAACATCTTTTTTACATTTTTAATCTATAATATAACCTCGTTTTGATGTAAGTAGACTACATATAACCAAACACTCATTTCAAACTTTTTAAATTTCCAATATCATCTACATCAAACTTCCCATTTAACACTTATAAAAACCTTGCATTAGAGATGATGCGATAATCCGGAATCAGGAAGAGAGGGATGGGTTTTTAACTCACAAATGATCATAAACAACAAACCAAATGTGATCATAAAAAAATTGATTCTACCTTTTCAAGATTATCATTTGATTGAAAAACGAAGGGTACACAACTGAAGCATAAAGATACTAAAGCACACAAATTATTATATCCTACCAACTTTCAAGAACAAAATAAAATATACTAATAAACATATTTAGGAAAATACAAAAATAAAACAATATACTTTGCTAGGATGAGGATTTTGGACAAAAGATAGATGATCATTTTTAAGATACTTTTGGATTAAATCCATTCATTCCCACAAAGTGTACCATTCTTTTTTACCATCTTCACAATCAGTTTTGGAAAAGTTGATTCATGAATTCATTCAAGAGATGGAGTACCTTTGTTTTCTTGATGATGAACTTGAGGACTTGGTTTGTGAACTACCAGATGTCCCACTGCTCTTGTTCTCCCCGTGCCTCAGCTGCCCCATCCCCACCACCCAAAACCGGTCCAGGATCCGCCGCGAACGAGACCCCAGCAACTGCCGCCTGCTTGCCGGCGTCCCCTTCTCCACCTCCTCCTCGTTCAATTTCATCCGTGAAGGTGTTCTGAGTGACTTTGAGCGTAGGGGTACTTTGATTTCCCAGTCTGGTTCCGGGGTGCGGTTGGTACGAGCTGTGAGTTTGATCGCAGCAGTGGCTCGAGCCTGCTCGTGGAAGAGGATCTGCACCACCATTCGCAGAGGAAGCCGGTCGTTTTGTGCTGCGTGGGTGGATGCATTGATTGATAACTTTAAAACGTCAATTAACTCGCAAACCTTCTTCTTTTCGGCTTTCGTTAAGGTTGGGTGTTCCTTCAAGTAAACGTCGACGGCACCATACAGTCCGTCGTGGACTATTCTGGCTGCACCCGGGATCGACCGTGATAATGTGATGAAACTAGAAAGCGGGAGGTTTCGATCACGGGAGATTTCTGCAAGATACTCATCGATCAGACGACCAACGACCCTGCAGCGTGGAAGGTTGATCAAAACCAAATCACCGGGCGTTTCATCTTCTTCATCAACACCCTTCGGATTAAAATAACGATCCACAAGGTTCTGCACAAGTTCAACATCGTACACCGTCGTTTGAGGATGCTCCGCCGGAATCAACAGATCTCGAACAGATGCTTCATCGAGTTTCATACTAACATCTTTGATCAAATCGTCACGTAGTAATGGATCAACTCCAACGAGAATCGAGACCTTCAAAAGTTTCAGTAGGAAACTACACGAACAATTGACTCCTTTATCTGGAGTGAGTAAGCAAATCATAGATTCCATCAATGATCTGTACTTCTCCAGATGAACTTCACCGGAATCAAATCGGTCATTACAATCCGGCAACCACCTCAGGCAATACGTCTTCAAAGCCTCTCCGATCACGTCGCCTTCCACTCGTTTCTTCGATATAACAGTCAGCATTACTCGTTTATAGACATCGATCTCCAGTTCACACAGATCTTCAGCCCACCAATCCTTCGGGACAGAGACAATCTCAGTGACCTTGTTCACTAGATCGAGTTTACGATTATACGTATACGACCAGTTTACACATGACAGATCAATAGCCGTTTTCGATGCAATGGACTCGATACACCTCCCAGTGATCTCGATATCTTCAGACCATTGTCGAAGAGCCGTGGTGGTTTGCAGCACAATGATGGAGTCCTTCCAGCTACGGAGAATACTCGACTTGAAAAACACCTCGATTTTGAATATCAAGTTTCCTCTATCGATATCCTCCGTCATCTCAAGGTACCCCGCCGCGCAACGAGCTGCGACGACGTTGTAGGGACTGAGAGACACCGTAATTCCGTAGCAGAACTTGGCACAGAGCTCGAATGCTTTCGGTCCTCCCGGAAACTCAACGAGATGAACAACGTCGGAATTCTCTTCGCTGGCATCCAACGCCAGCTTCTGCAAGCGATTGCTCTTCGATAAAAGCGGAAACTGCAACACACAAACGTAACGATATGGCTCCTTCATCATGTCCAGTAATAAAATTACTGGAATGCATCAACAAAAATTTCATAATTTCAAATGTAAATTTTAGAATCATTACCTTGTGAAGATAAAATTTTACTTCATCAACAACGACGGTGAAATCCGTCGTCAGCTCAGATGAAACACACCTAAAAATCATAAACCAACTCACACTCATTGTCGATACTCACTCATAATCTAAGGATCTCGACGTTAGAGAAGATAGAAAACGGTTAATACCTGATGGAGTTGGATTCATGATCTGTTTGAAATGCATCAGGCTTTGAACCGAGCTTCATAAACTTCATCTTCTCGGGTGAAATTGAAGGCAGTGAGTGAGGTAAAGTTGTGGTTGAAGCCTAAAGAGGTGGTAGTGAAAGAGTGCAGTAATGATCTCATTGATGATGCCATTACGCCTGCCTGAATTATCCAACCACCCAACGACGACAACGCGCCGCCGTCCTCTGCCCTAGACTCTGCGCCTATATATTATTGTTTTATTTACTTGTCCCCCACTTTTTGTCCTCTTATCCAACCATTTCTCATTAAACGTACCTTTTTTTCCAAACAATAATAACAAGGAACTTAATTTAACTTTTATTCGTTAATATTAGAGTCAATTAATGTTTGGTACCTGGTTTACTCAAAGCGTACTTAAAATAAAATATATCTCATAAAAACTCATAAAAATTGTTTTTTAATGTATAAACTACTGTTTATTGATGTATATTACTTAAAATTTAATATTACAAATAAATTGTACGTAAGTATAATTTATTAAAGCTCTATTTTTAAATTCGTATGACTAATTGTAGATAAACATACTCAAATAYAAGATAAACATCTCATTTTAAATATAAAAAATMTAAAATATAATTARGATAATTATTGAGTTCTAACATAATTATTATATTTATAAAAATTATATTGTTAAGTAAAAATAAATTACTTTTTTATTACACTTATATTAAATTATAATAAAAAAATTAAATTAAAGAAATTATATAAAAAAAGCTTTTAAATAATTAATTTGATATTATATCGACAACTTTTTCAAATTTTTATAATATCTTCATATTTATTTTTATTCAAAAGTAAAAAGCATTGTTTTTCTCAAAACCACATCAACTGTGTTATATCAACAAAGACAAAAAAAATAAAACAAAATATTAAAATAAAGATAAACTTCTCATTCTAGATATTAAAATATATATATTTAGGATAATCATTGATAACTAACAGAATACTTAATTATTATTAAAAAATTAAATTACTTCCTTATTAAATCTTAATTAAATTATAATAAAAAATTTAATAAAAGAAATTACACAAAAATCTAGCATTTTTATATATTTTTCAAAATTTTATAATATATTTTCAAATTTATATTTTATTTAAAAATAAAAATATCATCGATTTCTCAAAACACATTATACCGTATTGCCGAGCTGGGCTCAAAGAGGTCTCTTTGTTCAATATTTTCCTTTTATAACAGGTCTTAATGTAACCGGTCTCAACCACAACCAAAAGCACCTTAACATTTATCCTTGTATAAAGCATGGTTCCCAGTCACTGGCGGGGCCCATATTGACCCCAAATTTTTTTTCCCAAAAATCAATTCTAAAAATATAAAAAACTTGTTTGAATTTTTTCTTTTGTATAATATCTTATTGAAATACACTTTAAAAATTCTAATAGGTCTTTCGAATACAGTTTAAATCTTTTACACACAAAAATATTACAAAAGTTTTTTATAGTTACAGTTAAAGTTTTTTAACTTTTGACATTTTTTTTATTAACCTAGATACCTAATCCGTTATGTGAACCAACTAATCCCAAAACAACCACTTATTTTACAGATAGCTTGAAATCATTGCATTTAAATATTCGTGGTCACAAAAAGATTTTTATTCTTGTTTGAATTTAAACATAACATTTCTTGATACTTTTAATATTTAGAACAAGTTCAAACCGATAAGCATTATCGTTGTAAAAAGATAGTATTGAGTTTTGGAGATGTTTTCAGAAATCCATAGTTGACTCCGTACTAATGGCATTGCCCTTCCCAAAGCATTGCAGCTATGGCTTTTATAGGCTTGCATACGTCATTTTTCAATTGGATGTTATTGAGTATTTACAACTTAATAAAATTATTATTTTTTTATGAAATTTCATCTTTTATTTCATTTTCTGATAAACTTATATATCCATTAAATTATACAGTTTAATTATCCGATTAACTCTAAAATTTATGAGATTTGTAACAATTTTTATCTTAAGATCATGTTTTATATTTTTTTCTAAATCTAAGTATAATATTTAATGTATTGATCAACGTATATATATATATATATATATTTTTTATCAAAAATGATTTATTTAGCAACATTCCAGTTTATAACGTAAAAATCTGGTACTTCAGATGAGATAAATTTTCAAACCACGTATTTTGGAATAACGTACTTTTTACAACATTCATGATAAATGTCTCGGACACATTGCATGTTCTCAATGGTTCCCAATTCACAATGGAAATACGGTTTTCAACCGAACATACCTTTCTTCATACCAACAAATAAAATTGTAGCCAAGTAAATGCCTTTCTTCATACTCATGATTTCCCATTAACAGCAACTTGATATTTTACAACTTAATTATGTTTTTATTACATTACAACAAACAATTCTTGTTAAGAAAATAAAATTATATCATTTGCACCCCGTTTCGTTAACGAGGACGATGATGTTAATTGCCCGAGGAAAACGAACCACCATGATCGATCAACCCTTGTATACGCCTGAAGGATCGGCATTCTGAATGATCCACGGATGCTCAAGAAGTTTGTGTAGCGGCATTCGCTTAGAAGTTTCTCTAACAAGCATCTGTATATTTATCCGTAACTTATAAATAACGTCAAAGATTTTAGATGTCAAAGTGAAATATATAGAGAGAGTGAGGTGAAAAACCTGACTAATGAGGTCCTTGGCAGCTGAGGAGACTACCGGTTTTGAAGGGAACTTCAAATCTACTAGCAAAATCCTGCAAAATTGCGTCAAGAGATGGTTATTTAGCTAAATGACCTCCTGACAAGTGGTTTTCAAATCCATGACATTCAAACAAGTATTTTGGACAAGTTTTCAAGTCTATGACATTTTGACAGGTTTCTAGACATTCTGACAATAGGTTTAGACGTTCTTGCGTATGAAAGTATCGTTCTTCTGTTACTTAGTGGCATTCTCAAACCTGTCAAAAGGTTATCTTTCAGATACCTAAGAATTTGCTCATATGTATTATTAGAGTCCTACTTCAGCTAGATTCTCTCGCTATAAAGACTCTTTTAGAGAAAGTTTTAGAGGGGTTCCACATATCTGATAGACACTAGATACATTTATTTTGAAAATTGCCTCACCTTCTATACGTGTCCGAATGTTCTTTCGCTTCAAACGGAGGGATGCCATAGAGGAATTCATAGCATAGGATACCAAGACTCCATATATCTACACTTGCATCATGCTCGGCACTCTCCACTGCCATTCGAACTAGTTAATTAGAATAGAAACGATATAGGAAAGACTTTAACAAGGCATTCGGTTACGTATCCTTTACCCATCTCAGGTGGGAGATAATCTAGAGTACCGCACATGGTCTGCCTCCGATTGAATGTGTGCACCGACCAGCCAAAATCTGCAATCTTTAATTCACCCTGAAAGAGATAACATGTACTTCATCAAATATTATGTCTCTAAAACCAAATCAAATTAACTCAGGACATCCAACCGATCTGGGAATGAATCATTCTGTCTATATCAATGCAATTATCGAACACAAAATATGCAAGTTACCTGTGCACCAATCAAGAGGTTCTCTGGTTTTATATCTCTATGAATAACATGCTTCCCATGACAATATATGAGAGCCCGCGCTAAAGAAGCAATATACTGTTTCAATCCCAAAATCCAATATTAGATTAGTATCAGCAACAAGTAAATAGGCCGACAGTCGAATTCATTTCTACTCGCACCACATAAATGGAGTACGCAGAGTGGATTTGTTAAATGACCAAAACGAATAGAACCCAATACTTATAGCAGTGGTAGAATGGATGCAGCAATATGAAGACTTACAGTAGCAGCACGTCGTTCACTGAAGTACTTGCACCTTTGCAGCTCCTTGTAGAGTTCTCCTTTGGCAGCATATTCCAGAATCAGGTAGACCCTTTTCTGTGGACATTGTGGTCTAAAGATTTAGAAATTTTGGATAGCTCTTTAAACAACAGCAAGAAGGAAGGATTCTATACCTGATCATAAAAGTAACCATAGAGTCGTAGGATATTAGGGTGTCGAAGATGGCTTTGTATTTCAACTTCACGGCGAAGCTGGTGCTCCACCTGGGACTGTTTAAGCTGGCTCTTGAAAAGCACCTTTAGTGCAACAATATGATCGCTCTGTTTCAGAAAACACATATACCATGGTAAGATGGGTGATTCCCATGTAATTTTCCTAAAATCATTAGCCCAATTCGCGAAAGATTGATAAAATTCAAAAGAACATCTTAGGATTTGATAGAGCTACAGACCAACTGTTGGAGCATATTAGAGGCAGAAGTTTTAAGCAAAGAAACCAAAAACAATCAAGAACCTAAATCGACTGCCATTAACAAAATACAGAACTAATAATATTTTAGCTGACAAGGAACCCGAACCGAAACCAGATGGAAGAGTAAGAAAAATATGTTGAGCATAAGAACTAGATTTGATGAACTAACCCTCTTTTCCCTAGCTATATAAACATGACCAAACTTGCCCCTTCCGAGTGGCTTCCCAATGTCAAAGTCATTAAGTGTCCACCTCTTCTTTTCTGCTGCTGCCTCTGTAGGAGCCTGTAAAATAATACAGTCGACGGAAATCAATAAATATCACACAAAAACAAAATCATCACATTCACACATTACACCTTTACTAGCTACATTTGCTGCTGCCCATGATCAGAAATCGTACAATATGCTGAATGGAAGAGCTTTCTTCATATATTTACCATGGAGATATGGCAAAGCAATTGAAGCTACACTGCTTTGAATCTTAACATTTGACATGAAATGGCATTTCAGAACTACCTTTTGACATAATTTTATACATCATAAACCAGCAAATAACTTAAAAGAGACAAGCCACAATGCATATTTATGGGGATAACGTGGCTGTGTGGCTCACCCTTAATATGTAGAACCCTAAAAACATTAGAAGATGCTGTGGTTTCTACGATTGTCCTAAAACCTATGAGAGTGAAATTTTTGAAAAATGGAACGACAACAGATGCATACAACTTCTAGCATATGGAAATTTTTTGGGACACAAATTGTCGAGCTGTAGGACTATTCATGTTGAATAAAGTACATTTCAACACGAATTAATCTCTATTCTCCAAATTCAAAAAATTCCCAATTTCATTGCCCACAAATCATTCCTGTAGAATACTAAGATGAAAAAAAAAAAAGCCAAACGAGTTCTCATAAGATGTAGGATCCAAAAAACGCTAACAGAAACATGAACCCTAACACAATATTACATTTCAAAAATCCAAAATACATGCTTTCAGATTATATAAAAATCACAAAGCGGGAAACTAATTCGTTTATGAATTCAAAACCAAATGAAAACAATCAAAGAAAAGAAAAGAAAATTGATTGATTGTCATAAATTCAGTCATGTACCTTCTGTTCAGCCTGGGTTTCTGCTGCGATTGCCATGAGAGAGCAAAGGATTCTAGAGAGAGAAAACTGGAGATAGAGAGAGAGAGAGAGAGAGGGAGGCAGAGAAACAGAAGGGGAAATGCGAATTTGTTTGAATATAGAGAGATAGGAATAGAAGGATCTGTTTTCTCTCTCTCTCTCCCTGATTACACAACGGTCAAATTGTTGGAGGAGCGTCATTTGAAATCAAATTTTCAGTTAGACCCCAAACTCTGAACAAATTACTGGATACCCCCTAAACTTTCATAACCATAGTGATTACTTCTTACATAAATACAAAAATCATTTTCCTTCCCGTTAATTTCCCTCCAATTTTTCTCCTTTTATTTCTTTTATTTTCTTTCCAAATTCGAGAACACGAATGGTGAATGTAACGGATATTTTATTTTTATTTCATAAACTAAAAAAGCCAAAACCGAGTTCCCTTCGATCTGCTAAAGTAGATCGACTATTGACAAGAATGGAGAGCAATTCGGTGACAATTCTTGAGGATTTTACGATCAACATGATGAGATATATCAATTTTCTCAAAGAGAATAGGCGACGATATTTTCAAAACTATATGTAACTACTCTATTCAAATGAACCCTTTAAAAAATTAGAGATTTGTCTTTTTAAGAACATCGACTTTTACATATTCAACGGTTACCGAAAACATGTTTTGGTATCAAATGGACCTCTATTTTCACTATTTTAGAAATAAATAAATAAATAAAGCCTCAGACACAAACATGTAGTTATGCATACAAGTCCAGTCCCATGTAGCCACAATATTTTGTAATGGCTTATTTCATTGCATCAAACGAAAAGTAATTAGTGATACACTGGTTAAGTCTCAAGAGGATGTGAAAAATCTTATCTACCCGTGGGTTTGAATCTAGGTGCTTGTGGGAGGTTCACCTGCAATGACTTTAGACCGTTCGTGATCATCCGAAATTAGTTGAGATCAGAATAAGGATATGTTGAGATCAGAATAAGGGGCCGTTTACCAAGAGTTTATCAACAAGAATCATTGTCCTCACTTACCTTATCGAGTAACATTTTCAACAATCAAAATGGATTGTTGGTAAGCATATTTTACCAGGTAATAGTCTTTTACCTAATTAATTGAATAAGATTCTCAGTCGTTGTTATGTCTCTAAGTCTTACCGGATAAGATTCTTAGCCTTGTCATGCTCACTCGGTAAGGGAAGCGACGCCACTAAGAAGCAACCATTTTCATAGCAAAGAAAGAAGAAGCCACGTTACATTGATTTATGGCAAACATACATCATTCCATCCAATCCCACATTACATTCATTTCCAATTAACCATTTGTTTTCAGTTGGCTTATTACATACACAGACATCATCCATTTCAGTAATACGTTTCCACCATCCTTCCCCTTAATATGGCTTCAGCTTTCCTCACTTGCTTCACTGGCCCTATTACAAATACCTACATACATGACACCACCATATTCATTATGATTCCCATATATCATGTTCAATTTCAAAACCATATTCATTATGATTCCAGATATCATTTTCAGTTTCAAAACCATATTCATTATGAATTTTAGGATAAAACCAAGCACAAAAGATACAAATGAGGTATCAACTGACCTTGTCTGGTGGTCCCTTGGCGCCTCCGATGAATATTTCAGCACTAAAAATACAACAAAGAATTCATCACTGAATGAATAAGCTGAAAATAGATTTATAAAGAAGGAACAAAAATTACTTGCAAGACTCCTTAATAGCCAAAATGGAAGCTCCTTTTCTTCCAATAACAAGTCCCATCTTCCCTGGTGGAACATCAACAACTGAGAGAACTTCTTCCTCCGGAGCATTGTCATCTGTTACAAGCGTCTCTGCAATTATACGTATTTACTTCAGATAAAACATTTGTACAGAAAAAAAAAAGGATACTAAAAAAAGTTTTGTAAATAGTTTTGCCCGTTTGGTTAAAAGGATAAAAGAACAAACCTGGAATTGGAGGGAGAGGTGGCCAATCTGCATAATCGTTATCAGTAATGCAGAAACAGCGACAATAAAGAGCCCCACGAACAGCAAGATACCACAAGGATTTTTGATTCATCTTCACCACCATCTTGTTATATATATACAGAAGAAAACGGACATCGTCTGTAGCTGCACGTACCATCAATTCCGATAATGGTCTATATTTCCAAAAGTTGGGGTCCTGGTAAATTCCACATAACAGAGCTTCAGATATAATAATGATAATGAAATATGCCACTTAGTTTCTAGTTTAAGCTCAAATAAAGCATAAAAACATAGACAAAATCTTGTATAGAACAAATATTTCTTGAAATAAACTTGTGTTTAGCATCCGCCTTTGTCATTTCCTTAAATCGGCTTCTAGATTTCATTTTTGGTCTAACTATCTTTTCTAAAATTAGCATATCTGTCTTTCTTGTCTCAAGTTCTTTTTCGACTCCTTTTTTCTATTTCCTCATATTTTTTGGGTGAACTTTCTTTTTTGCACACTTTTCTACGAACTATTCTACACTTTGGGTAAAGGTAAGACTTAACTCATCAACGGTAGAGGCTTATGCAAAAAATGACACAAAATATATCCTGAAGTGCATGTAAATCTGCTTTATAAGATTGAAGTATCTAACTCGTTTAGCAGATGGGTACTAAAAGATCGAATGCAGAACACTATATTTGGGATTCTACAGCAATGCAGCTTGAAAGTATGGGGCCTTCAGCCAAAAACAACCAAAAGTGTGAAGGCCCCAATGCTCACAAGATAAATCTGAAGGCACCATATGACGAACCTGCCTGAGAAGAACTCTAACTTCTTGCTTCTCAAGATAAGATATACCTGTTTTCAAAACCTCAAGGTGAGAATACAAGTACTATAATGCATATAAAATGCTGAAAAATGCAAAAAATGTCACTTAGAGATAACAAATAAGAAAAGCATCCTCAGTTCTAACATGATACACTTCTGGTATCAAATATGTTTAGAAGCAAATTTTAGTGAAACTAAAAGCTACACAGAAAAAGTTGACTTAAGCGTGCATAAGTTGAATTGTCTATTATCGCCATTATCACATATTTATGGGTAGTTTGGTTGGTTTTCCATTAAGTCATGTATGGATAAAGCTGACAGCATGGCTTAATCTGTTTGTATATATTGGAAAGTTTTTGTTTGGGAGGGTTTTTTCGTAGATGGAACGAGCGTGGTTTTTAATTGAGGGGCAGGTTCGAATTTTTTTTGGCTTTCTGCATAAAGCTCCCGCCTATAAGCTTACCGAATAAGACACTTTCTGTATCATTAAGCCACTACCAAATAGGTGTGTATGGCTGACCAAATAAACTGTGAGTCCCATTAAGTTCATTAAGCTGGCAACAGATAGACCCTTAAAAACAAATGTGAAGCATTGCATTTTGAACTCACCATATATGGACTTTACATAATCAATTATGAGAAATATGAAAATTTCTTTATCGATGTGCATAGTTAATGCATACATTCAGATACAACTCAAGAGAAATGATTTGAAACGAGGAAAGACAAGTTATCTGTATTTCAACCACCACCACCTTCAGTAAGAGACAAGTAACAAGGTGCAGCAGAAAGTAAGAAACACTTCTTCCAAGAGGCAGTTCAGTCTTAGTGGGTTCTAAGATTTTAATGGGCCAAAACCTATTGTTTCAGTTCTATGAACAGCCAACTGATTGAAACCTGCATGTTTGGATTGGAATTCCTGTATTAGGCCTAACATTTTGGACTTATACAGGTCATTAGACGGGTTTTATGTTATTGCATCCACTTCTGTTAGTTAACAATTTGTTACTTCATCCAACTAAAACATAGACAGCAAATTGTCGAAAAGCCTAAAAAACCAAACAGAACACATTGCCTTCGCTCTATCATCAACATTGGAGAAGTACTTTTTAAATTTTATATATTTTCCTAATCATGAATAAGTTCTTTTCAGATTTCATTGCCAACACTAGCCTCAATCAAATTGAGTTCCATCTTGGTTCAAATATCAAGACAAAGCAAACTTTCGCTTGCAATTTTTTTTTGTTTCCAACACATGATTTTATAGTCCCTGCATCTATAAATGGAGCTTCTTACTAATAATAGTAGTAGTCATTCTTTTGAAACAGTAAACAAACTAATACACCAATGTCTCTAAAGAGAATTGAACTTGCAACCCATGATTTGTAGAGATACATTGTCACCGTTCTCACTTGGTGGTGGTGATAGTAGATGAACTAGGCATGGATATTACATGCAATCTTTATGAGCTTGTAAAATTATCTTTAGCAAAGTGAATATATCATCACAAATATTTGGCAACCAGTGAACAATGATCTACTAAAGAAGTTTGCACCCATGAAAAATGATTTCAGGAAGGGAAACTGAATTAAAATTTAGAATGACAAAAGAAGAGGCAAAAGCAAAGGCTAACTACCACAGTAACGTGGATCAGCAAGGAGACCAACGAATGAGATGTAGTCATCTGGCACTTTTGTCCCGCCTTCTTGCACCTCAATCAATGTGTAAGCAATCTGTGTAACAGATAAATTAGTCAGCACAAACAGCTGGATGATAATTTCATTGCTGAGGTTCGGTCACATCACCATACACATATGGAAAAGGGCACAGCAAAGTGAGAAAATGGAAAGAAAAACTACAGCACTATACGAAATTCACAACTCAGTCTAGTTGTTTTACTTTCAGCAATTTAGTCACTGTACTCTTTGGATTTCATTTTTGAGCCACTTCCATTGGTGGCTATTCCCTGTCGAAAAAGGTTACAGAGACTCTATGTTGGACATTTCTGTTCTTCTTTTTCCAAATTAAATTGCTGAGTTGGAAATTAAGACGGCCACCCAAATGACTTGGACGTATATTAAACAAGAATTTCCAGTAAATGTTTTGGACACAACACATGTGACTCGCCTGAGACACCATTAATATAATGTTGACCATATTATTAGCAACAAATGAAGCTAAATCATGAATTTGGCGAAAGTTAAGAAAAAAGAAGCAATAGTGATCCATATCCTGATATATGGACACTCACCTGGGTATCAAAAACGTTGTGCAACTTGATGTTGAACTGAAAATACAAAGCCTTCAAAACAGAAGTAAGCAAAGATATCAAACAAATGCATTTGTTGAAAGAGTGAAAAGGCTAGAAGTGGATAAAATCAATTAGAGACCTCACTATCTCGTTTGCAATCATGAATTACTTTAGTGACGTTACTAGATTCAAGTGCAGGCTTACAGGCTTCCACAAGTGTTTTTCCACCCTCAATAGCATCAACCAAATATATAGCATCTGGAAAAGCTAGCTGCCAAGAGCAAAAAACCATATACTGATCAGGTACAGTTCCATCATAATAACACAGAAATGCAGTTGCTACAAAACAAACAAAAAAAGTCTAAGAGAATTTATGTTGATAATGGACATGGGAGTAATGAACTTGATCGAAGTCAAATGTGCACAATTAATATGGGATTGCAGGAGTTGAAATATAATTGACATGGATTGTCGATTAAAAGGTGAATTTCTCACCAACACAATTGATGTTTATCATAGCACATAGCCCAATTAATATTTAAAAGAACTTGTTAGTTAGCATAAGCCAAGTCTCCTTCTAATTTTGGACCCAAGAAGAGGTCATTTGTTGATACTATGGGTAATTACTGAAAATTTCACAATTGCATGCACATCCACCCTAAAACATCTGTATTTTTCTCCATCAGAAACTATGAATGTCAATTGTATCTTTGTCACTTCTAAGCTTGTGCAGTTAGACGATAGTTCATGTTTCTATGGATGGCAATTATGCAATATGTGCTAGACTATTATGACAAAAGAACCTCATGCGAGGATCTGTGATAATTCAAGTTATATCTCTAACCCTGACCCCTTGGTGGTAGTCGTAATGTTTGTTTGCCAAGAAAGAAAGCAGGTGTATTTTTGCAGATAAAATTGTTGTTGAAAATCTCAAAGAATAGTTATGGCAGAGGCTGAGATTCAAGATGTCGCTTATGAAAGTAGCAAAGTCGCTAAGGTTGGTCACTCATGTTAAAAGAATAGTTCCAAAAGCATAAAATCCATAGCCAGCTCTTCCCTGGTCAAACTGCAGCATTTATTGGAAAAGGCATCAGATCATGGCCCAACCCAGCTCGCTACTTAAATAAAAGAAATCACTTGCTCTATCAGGTTCCAGTCTGTATCGGATGAACATCCGGATATCTTGGTTTTTTACTTTCTACCGACTACCGATGAAATCTCAAAGTAACAGCCCCCTTTTGGTTTGCCTACAGTCTAAGCTTCACATGCTCAAAGAACATCTGAAAAGGTAGAGAACTGAAAGGTTTTGGCCAGCAAACTAAAGCTGAAGCAATGTGAAAATCAAATTTAACTCCCAGAAGCTCATATTCAGCTCAATCAGGGTGACACAAAGGCTCAATCCTCAACAAAACTTGCGTCCGATTAAGAAATTTAGGCACATAAAGTAGCCAATGGTGACAGAGATACATCCCATAACACTGTTTACCTCGGAACCACTCTATAAGCAGAAAGAAATAAACTGATGGATGATGAAGAACTAAAATATAGACTTGTGAACCTTTCCTTGATCAGTTTTTCTTCCATTTCTTCTGACTTGTATGGTGATATTGTTTATGATTCCACAATATTGTTAAGTCTCCATAATGAAGATGAAATATGGAAACCATTAAAGGTTTCAATGGTAGAATTTGAGCCCAATCTTAATGAGCTTATACGCATCTTTTACATCAGTTGTTGGTATATCATCCAACTCTGGTATTATTTCAGCAGTGCAAAACTTTAAGGACAGAGGTATGTATCGATAAACGTGCTAGAGTTCTCACTCTACTCCACAAGATTCCCTAACCCAGGCTGATGGCTAACATGCAATGCAATCTATCAGCCTATTATGTCTCTATCTAAAATTGTCTTGGAGTACAAATGATAGATTAAGCAAGGATTATTTTTAAGGGCAAAATGTCCATGAGTGCAGCCATGGGTCATGAAATGGAGGAAAATAGCAACAAGAAGAAGTATTTGGAGAAATCTTGATGGCAAAACTCAAAAATTGCAAGCCTGTAATATTATTAGTATGAAAAAGGTTCATATTTGAGAAATCTATATCTCACATGATTCAGGGCAAGTGCTTACTGTTGAGGTTAATGGATGTTCTATGTCTTCTAATGGGGTAGAACAAGGTGATCATCTTTCTCCTACTTTATATACTCCTACTCAGAATTGCCGTAGTAGAAGACTTAATAAGATGGTTGATAGCATTATTGCTCAAGATCAAAGTTCTGGATGGGTGTTTGGACTTGATAGATGTTTGTTAGGGTATGGTGATCCCACAGATGGGGTTAAATATTACATATTCGGTCTTTAAAATGTCATCAAGTGCGCTTCAAGAATATCAAGTTGTCCATCATATCATGGAAGAATTGTTTTATAGTTTCCAAGGAAACATGACTATGATCAAGTTCTAAGAACATGATACAGCAACGGATCCATGATATAGAGACTTCCACGGAGTTGAAACATCTACAGCTCTGTATTTTCTTCTGATGCTCTAATTTTTAAGAGATGTGAGTTTTACCTGCATGATACACAGAGTTCCATTGCGACAAAGGTCAACACCCTCACAGTCAAAACCAATCACCAATTTCTTATCAGGAGAAGGTTCCAAGAATTCAGGTGGAAGTTGACTTGCATGAGTAACAATGTGGATAGGAACTATTTCGCCGCCTGAAAATTAACTTGTAATTAATACATAACACAACACTATGCAAATACTAAGGGCCTGTTCGTAACTAGCTTAATGAGCTTAATAGGACTCACAGCTTATTCGATCAACTATACATGACTGTTTGGTAGTGGCTTAATGATATAGAAAGTGACATATTCAGTAACCTTGTAGGGGGAGCTTTATGTAGAAAACCAAGTTTTTTCTAACCCCACCCCTCCCAATTAAAAACATGCTCCTTTCATCTATGAAAAAACTCTCCCGAACAATAACGTTTCCAATCTATACAGACATCTTTATCCATTTAGGACTTGATGGAAACAACCAAACAGCCCCTAACTGTTGTATGTACAAAGTCCATATCAGCCTCCCATTTGAAAAGTATTAATTATTATCAATCCCTAGACTTACGATACTACTTCGCAACAAACCGAATAGTTTAAAGAAAAATACTCCATCCATTCCAAAATAAGATCAAACTGTTTCGATTCTTTTGTAAAAAGAAACAAGAATTTGGTAACTAGATTACACTTCACAAGAAATAATGCAAATCGAAACAAAACCCGTATCAATTACTCCCAGGTCCCACCTCATAAATAAAATTGGAACAACTGATTTCAAGATTCAAAAGTAGCTGTTTGACTAGTAGTCAAAATGCTTAAAGAACCCTAACCACGCTGAGCAAAATTAATACAATCAATAATTTGCACCGATCAAATTGGGCGAATAGCTAGTTTTTCCAAATCAAGAAAACATTGCAATTTCAATAAGAATAGAGCGGCAGGGGGCTTTTCTGTCAAGAACTAGGTTTTGTACTCGCTAGTCTTGTCCAACAAAAGGGTAAACAAGTTCAAACAACATAAACCCTAAATCATTCAGCATGGGGGAACACAATACTACAAGAAGTTCACAGAAAGACGAAAAGAATCAGCAAACCCCGAACGCATGGGGTCGATAAACCCATATTGTAGAAGAGAAACATAGAAGAGATAAGAGGGAGAAGTGAAACATGCCTGGGTCAGAAGAAACGGGGATACAGGTCAGTTGATTTGGGGAAGAAAGAGACGACGCCATGGCGATGATCGAACCATTCAAACAGATCACGAAAACCTCCCCTCCGATCTTTACTGCCGATAGATATACGGCAGTATTATTTTCCGATTGGAATTGGACATGCATTACAGAATTGTACCGTACAGTTTGTTAACATTTTAAACTTTCCATTTTTGGTCCTTATAATTTCAACCCCATTCATGTTGGCCTTTATATCTACTTTTTATGACATTTTAAGTACTTGATTGTTATTATAAAAGCATCCGCAATATCAGATTTCAAAGGTAATTAAAGAGAAATTCTTCAAATTAACTGCTTCGTGCGACAATTTGGACAAAAAGTTGATTACTGAAAATACTAATTGATTTTATACAGAACCGTCTATAAGGATATCAACGTGAGGAGGCGTTCTTTTGACAGAATTAGTAGCTGAGGCTTGCTAGGGAGCTGATATCGAACTCAAGACATGTCTTGTATTTGACAAAGTTGTCCCGTCCATTTGTCAACTGAGCTATGCACCAGAGGCAGTGTTTGACGTAATTATACAACATGATATGCCTATAAAATCATAACATTATTTGTTATGCCAAGTTACAAATAAAGATGTAGAAACGGGGGTCGAGGATCAGAACGGACCCAAACACTTGACGAAGATTGGTTAAATGAATGGTCGTAACCGGATCTCGTTCTTGCCCAACAATCCAATAAAACATAATTTACTCTTATAATTATACAACGTTGTAGAGTATTGGTATATCAATTTATTGACCATTTAAAATAAATCGGCAAGTACAAGTTTTATTATTTGTTAACTGATACATCTATTACAATTTATTGAATCTATAAATACGTAAACTGAACTTCGTGTGGCAAGTATAGGGTTATGTTGGTTCGTCAAACGATCAGATTATAACAGAAAACGAGTTATTATAACTTTTTAAGGCATATACATGTTCATTATCGACATGCTCATTTGAACAAAACATGGGGATTTTTCTTTCCGATGGATTTATTTTAAACAAATTTTGGCTATAATTTCATTTCGCGAAAAAAAATATTTCGAAAATATGACTCGTGATTTAATCATTTAATAAATATGAGCTTTGAAGGATTTCCAATGTGAATTTATTTGATAAAATCAAGATTTTCTAGTGACATGCTCGTAGGCGGTGCAAAACTTTGAATGGTTTGAATCCGAACTTGAACTCAAACCGCAAAACAAGGTAAACCTGTGAAACCCGAATGGCCTGAACTCTGAAACCCGAATTTTTTGAGGATATATGGGTTCATGTTATGTTTGATTTATGGCCATCCGACTGGTCCAAAAACCTAAAATATATATACGTATATTTTTTAAATATTGTATAAATATATTTATTTATCTAATTATCTTTTTAAAAACCTAAATCCTAGTCGGTCATATTCTTTTCTAATATTTAAACCTATTATCGATTTCATCAATTCTCTCAAGCGATTGAATATATATATATATATATATATATATATATATATATATATATATATATATAGGGGAGCGATCAAATGCAAATCATTCAATTTGTAAAAACCGTGCAAACCGCATTCAACCAATCATAATTGTTCATTTTGTTCATTTTTTTGTAATTATGAGAGGTTGATTAATCATTTTTATTGTGGAGGGTGTTAATCATATATATTATCATCTTCATTATTTTAATTTTAGAGAAATACATGAAACAGTTTCATTAATGTTAGAGAAATACATGAAACAGTTTCATTAAGTATTATATGAAACAATTTCACAACCATATATGAAACAACTTCATCAAAAAAAAGTATTATATGAAACAATTTCACAAGATTAAACAATTTCATGAAAAAATTTCATAAGATTAAACAATGAAATCGACAGATGAAGGTGGTTTGCACGGTTTACACAAATGAGGGCGGTTTTCATATGATCACTCCTCTCTCTCTCTCTCTCTCTCTCTCTATATATATATATATATATAGTTTTTTGCATTATCACTGTACTCGAACCTGACCAATATCAAGTAGAAACCAGACCACCCCGAACCCAAAACAATCCAAAATACAAGACCCAAAATTCGGGGCTTGGTTTCCCTATACAAAATCCAATTTGATTTTGGTTTGTCCACCCGAATACACCCGCTCCACCTGATGTACACCTCTAACATGCTTGATCATTCTCAATGTATTTTCTTCTTTTCAAAACGACTTTTATTTTGTTTCTTTTTTCATATATCTTATACGTATTTTAACAAAGTCGTTTCTGAAGCAAATTCAAGACCTAATTTTTTTTTTAAATATTTAACATTTTTGGGCAAAAAAGTTGAGTATTGACAATTCCAACCGTTTTCACACGACACTCAACCCTCTAAGGAATTCATATAAAGGGGTTCAGACTCGAACCTGACACCAACGACTTCTCAAGCAAACATCTCCTCATCCTTTGAGGCAACCGAGCTACGCTAATGTTTAACATTCTTTTTCTTAGGTTTTATGTAAAGGCAAAATTGTATCATAATTGAACAATTTTTTATCGTTGTTATTATTTTATGAAATCAACTTTCAAAATATTCAATTTATCTTGATAACCAATTTTCACAACTTTTTATTTTGGGGAATGGAAATGATAGCAATTTAAAAAAAATCGTTTTAAAAAACTAAAATAGAATCAACCTTGTTTTTGTTTTTATTTGAAATAATATTAATTCAAAGGCAAATTGCATGAAAAAATAACCTACCTTAACTTGATTCCTGTTTTGGGTAACGTACTTTCAAAACTTTCATTTGGGTACTTAAGATGTAAAGTATTAAACATTTAAATACCCGGATAACAGGTTGAAGTATTAATCAGTAACCATGCAGATGTGACGAGTGATGTGGTATCCGGTTAATGCTTCAGTAAATAATATTGAGTTGGATATCACACCACTCACCACATCAGCATGGTAACCGGTTAATGTTTCGACTGGTTATCCAGGTATTTAAATGTTTATGATTAACATCTTAAATATCAAAATGAAAGTTTTGAAAATACCTTACCTAAAATAGTAATCAAGTGAAAAAAAAAAATTAGATTTGAAACTTGACCCGTTGGACCATCTTTTGATGTTGAAAACTAGTTAGACCACTTTGTAAGGCAAGATGAGTTGCTACATCCCACACAAACGCACATGCACATGCCCATCATCATTCATCAACAATTTTAACTCATTTATTTTATAAATATTTCCAATATATTTTATTTCACGAGCAACCTTTAAAAAAATTCGCTTTATTTAAATACTTGGTATTTTAATATATTAATTATTTAAAAATTAATAAACAAAAACGTGTTGACGAGCGAACTTCGTACAACCCGTCTAACTCATACCAAAAGTTATCTGTTTTAATATGTTACTCAACATCTTGACCAGTCTACTTTTCCACCTCCACGTCGATCTTTTTATGGACGGTTTTACAAGTACAATAGTTTATAAACCATTATTAGAATCGTCTCAATATTTTTGAGGCTCTGTTACATCCATATTAAAACTATAAATCGTTTGAAATGAGTTATAAACAAAATAAACTGTAAAACTCCATATTATATTAAAAATCTTATAAATTAAAATAACAAAACTGTTTAAAATGACTAGAAGGGTACTCGCGTAATGCAGCGAGATACATTTTGATTTTAATATTTCATTTTATTCCTTATGTCAATCGATGTTATAATATAGTCTTATGTGATTTTGAAAAAACGATGATGTTTTTATTTTTGAATAAAATATAAATTAAAATATATCAATATTATTATCAAATTAACTATTTAAAATTCATCATTTTTTGTGTAATTTTTTAATTATAATTTAATTACGTTCAATAACGAAGTAATTTATATTTGGTTTAATAATATGATTTTCTTATAAAGATAATACTTAATTATTTTATTAGAACTCGATAATTATCCTAATTATATTTTAGATCTTTTATATTTTAAAATGAGATGTTTATCCTCTATTTGATTATGTTTATCCGCAGCTAGTTACATGAATTCAAACATGGAGTTTTAATAAGTTGTATTTATGCATAATTTACTTGTAATCTTGAATTTTAAGTAATATGCATCAATATACAGTACTTCATGCATAAAAGATGGTTTTTAAGAGTTTTTGTCAAATGCTTTATAATATAGTATAGATTAAGTGAGAAGAATATCAAATAGTCATTTTTGTTTTTGATCAACACACATTTGAAATTAAATAGCCACTTTTGATTTTGAAAGAAATTAGATAGATTTTCATTGACGGGCCCACGTCCAAGTGAAAATTTAGGGCTCTGTTCAAAAACCAAGATTTAATATGCTAATAGACTCTCTGACCGTTGTTTATATATAACCCAACCCAAACCAAGCGTAATATATTTCACTCGGAAATTATCTTCAAAAGATGTTATATGTGTACAGATATTTTCTACCCCAAAAAATAAACGCACACAGATATTATAATTGTTTTAATAAAGGGATAAAAAGGCACAACCACCCTTTTTGTACGGAGCATGGAAACATTCAAATGGTTATCTCCACCCTCTAAGCAACCATTCTTTACTTCATCTCATAACTTTGTAACCTTGCATTCATACTAGATCTCGAAAAGTATAACCGAAGGAATACAAGAGATGTCATATGGAAACGTAAGTAAACAGTTGCTAACGACAAATAACTGACCCGAACCTAAACTATAGAAATTGCAGTCTTGTACCCGAACTTGAATTAACCATTGGCTGTGCTGTAGAAGTTGAAATACCTTATGTGATTGGATCTGAGGTGGAACATTTGACACGAATGGGACCATTTCGAGATATATAAGTTTTGAAGTTCCGTCACTAAATGACGTGACTGAGTCATCAAGACCGACTCCTGGCTAATTAACAAATCTTTAAACGTCTTTCTAACTCTGTACATTTAAAAATCCGCTTATACCAATAAAGAAGATCCAAATGTGAGATCTGGTGTGTTGGTGTATCCCTAGGGCTTTATGCGTGTGGATGTTCGGACCCACGAATCTTGAATTAATTTCGAATGGAATAAAAATAAACAAGAATAGTTATTGTACGTGTGTATGTATGTATATATATGTATATGTACGTGTGTGTTTTATTAGCACATTTATGTTATCGTTAATCAAATAAATTTATAATAGTTATTTGTAAATTTTTAAAACTAATATTTGCTTCTGAAAAACGTAAATGTTTATCATATACTATTTTCTATTTTAAAAATATAAGCTTAATAAAAAAGTAATTTGCCAATTAATTAACCAAAATGTCAACTATTACAACATGTCATTTTATCAATTGATTTTGAGGAGAAACTAACATTAATATATCGATATGTTGTACATTATTGGAGAAACTAGGGTGGTGTCTGATTGGTTTGAGCTTGACTCCAAAGATCAAAAGTACTATGAGGTCTTAGATTCAAATCCAAGTAGGAATAAAAATCCCCTTGTGACCACAAAAGTTTAAATGCGGGGACTCCGAGCTATCTACAAAGCAGGTGGTCGCTTTGGGATTAGTCGGTTCGCATAGAGGGTTGGATATTCAGGCTAATCAAAAAAAAAATTGTTGAGGAGGTGTTCTTTAAGGTGGATTAAAAGCCTGTAAAGTCGCACGATATGTTTTTAGCCAAATTGCAACATTTCGAGGGATTTTTTAACCTTTTTGGTAGATTTCGAGGGATGTTTAAGTTTTTTGGTAGATTTCAAGGATTTTTTTTCAATTTTTTTGGTTGATTTCGAGGTACGTTTTCCAGTTTTTTGGCTGATGTTGGTTATAATTTCTAATAACCCGGAGTATCCTCAAAGTTTAGCGGGTGCATCTTTCATACCTTTAAAAAATTTCTACTTGAGAAAATAAGTTAAAACAACATACATAGGTCCCGCCCCCTCTGATGTTGTTACTTCAACGAAGTTGATAGAAAACGTGATCATTTAGTTGGAATCAAGCTCCTTGTTTGGAATGAGCGAGTGGGTTTTTGTATTTCAATATCTGTAGGTCTTCAATGAGCGTTTCAAGTGCCTTTGCACTTTTTAGAAGTCGATAGAGACCTAACTGTATGGACTTCATTGGTGTGACAACTTTTATGTATTAATGACAATAATTTTAACAAATGCAGTCTCTTGAAAAACAAACTATTACATTCAACTTTAGAAACATAGATTAACCTAATCATTATGTTGCATACTCATTAATCACTAATGATTTGAATCCGTAACTATTGGATTTAGGGTCATATGTAAGGATTTAAGGTTATTTCTTCGAATTGGTCTTCATTTCTAAGTTTAAGTATTAAAAAACGTGACGCCTGAAATAGATATTGGAATGAAAACTTTGTTTCTGCTTCATGTCGAAAAACCATAGATCTGCTATTGAGTGACTTTGCCTAAATACAAGATAGATCCCGGGTTCAATTCTACCCCTGTCTAGCCACAATCACTGAGTAAATCAAAAATGCTCCCTCACATTGATGTCATTGGAGGTGTGCTACATGTGGCGCCGATTAGAATTGTCGGTAATCAACTTTTTGCCTAAACATCGAATCAAAATATCTTTTTGACTTACCTAAACTAGATTTTATATGATTCACTTATTGACAGTAGTAGCATGGTCATGGTTGGGACAAAGGGTAGACTGTGTCGGTTAAATTGAATACAAAGATATGAAATTCAATATTTCATTTATACCAAAAAATGATAAATTCATTAATTTATGAAATTTAATAAAATTCAAATAATTCCTAGATTTTTTGTACATAAAATTAAAATTTAATCAAAGAAATAATCCATTCTAATAATTTGAACCAAACACGTCGATGGAAAGAATGTACCGTTGGAAACCAGGTGGAGAGGGAGGCGTATTGCTCGTCCTACCAATTAATGCATCAGACGAAGACAATTAATGCATCAGATGAACCCAATTAATGCATTAGAAAAAAAAGTATTAAATATTACGAGGGTGTTTCGGATTGCTTATAAAAAACAACTTATTGACTTATTTTGGTGTGACATCGGTAATAAGCATTTTTGAGTGTTTGAAAATAACTTAACGACGTGTTTGATACTAATATTGATATATTTATTTTCAAAATTTTATGATATCTTTAAATTTATATTTTTTTCAAAAATAAAAACATTCTTTATTTCTCAAAATCACATAAATCGTATTATAACATCTATAGGAACGGAATAAAATAAAATATTAAAATCAAAATATATCTCGCTACTACATTATACGAGTACCATTCTAGTTAATTTTAAACCATTAACACGCGACTCAAAACAACGACTACTTCAAAAGTTGAATCTCAATATTAAAAATTAAAATAAAATAAAAATAATGAAAAATTTAAGGGTTTTAAGGAAACCCAACTGGCTATACGAATTTTTAAATAATTTCCACGTGGGCATTGCCTGTAAACCCACATGAACACTCGACATGTAACCTATATAAATACCTTCATGTTTACCATCACCATGCATACTCATCATAACATACGATACACACATATACATACATACATATATACAATCGTCATCACCACTTTGCAACAACGAAATGAAGAGACAAGGGTGTGTGTTTCTATTCTTCGTACTTATTTTTGCGTTCATTGGTGTCGAGGTGACGGCAACAGGGTTGCCGCCTGAGTCGGCACCACTGATCCGCCAATACTACAAGGTGCACAACACATGTGCTAATGTCGAACGTTTTGTTCGGTTCCAAGTGAAGAGTTTTTGGGACAAGGACCGGACCATAACTCCGAAGCTCGTTAAGTTGTTATACGCCGATTGCATGGTCAATGTACGTTTTTTCTATATATGTATATATATTGTAATTATTGTATTCATTCGAATACAATAATAGTAACTAGATGGTTATATAATCTAAACGGATAGCGTATGTGCGAAACCACAGGGATGCGATGCATCGATTCTGTTAAATGGCAATAACACGGAGAAAGCGTCACCAAAGAACCGAGGACTCGCAGGATTCGCTTTTATCGACATAGTGAAGAGAGTTGTCGAATCAAGGTGCCCCGGAGCAGTCTCTTGTGCTGATATTCTCAACATTGCCGTTAGAGATGCAATTTACTTCGTAAGACTTCGTATCTGTTCCCACCTTTTTTTGAAGTATATAATGTTTATATACGACAAATGATCATGTAACACTCCTCACATTTGGTGTGGTTTGAACTCTGACTTGGGCTCCACTAGGTGTGATGCTATAGACATTTTACATAAAGCTTGCAAAGGCTCAATCTCACCTGTTTTCGATGTGAAATTTACAGTCCGGAGGTCCATCGTACCCGGTTTTCTTGGGAAGGAGAGACGGGCTGAAATCGGAGGCTTCGTGGGTCGACCTCCCCTCACCGTCCATCTCGTGGGAATCCGCTCTCGCTTATTTCACTTCTAAAGGTCTAAACGTGCAAGACATGGTTACGCTGCTCGGTAAGATGCGAATTCACCATTTAACCAACAAACCTAGGGGTGAGCATAGGCGGGTACCCGCTCTATTTGACAGGAACGGAACCGAAACCGACGGTTCTTGAGATATTGGAACCGGAACCGGTTAGAGCGGTTCTTGGATTTTTGGAACCGGAACCGCCGTGAACCGGTTCCGGTTCCGGGTACCCGCTTCCTAAAATATTAAAATTTTGTTATTTAGAAATAAAAAATAAAACATTACCAAAACACTAAATAAATAAACAAGAATACAAATTTTACGGAATAATGGTTACAAATATTATTTAATGATTACAAACCATAATAGACTAACAGTAAATATTGAAAATTTAACGATTACATATTATAATTGTATATGGTTAAAGTTGAACGATTGCATACTACGAATCCAATTAAACACACAATTTGAAAAAATACAAATCATTGTATCTCAAATTATGAATCTAGAGTTCTAAGTTGTTGGCCTAATTTAAATTTAGTATTAAATAAATTAATTAATTTTTTTAATTGAAAAATACCGGGTACCCGCTGGTTCAGGGTACCTGCCGGCTCCAGGTACCCGGTCCCGGAACCGGTCTCGACGGGTAACGGTTCCGAAAAATTGAGAACTGGAACCGGAACCATTCTCAATCGGTTTTGTATTTTAGGAACCGGAAGTTTCGATTCCGCAAATGGTTACCTGGTTCCATTGCTCACCCCAAAACAAACCGATCATTTTTTATCAAAATCAATGGTCATTTCTGACCTTTTTTGTCGTGTTTTCGGGTGGTTTTAGGAGGACATATGATGGGGAGAACTCGTTGCAGTAACGTCCATGACCGACTGTACAATTTCAAGAACACCGGGAAACCGGACCCGAGCATGGAATCAACAACATTGAGTTACTTGCAACAGCAATGTCCGAAGAAGGTGAGGTTGGGACAGCCCAACCCTCTTATAAACCTGAACCCGGAAAACCCGACACACAACTTTACAAATTCCTACTACAAAAGAGTGTTGGCGAACAAAGCGGTTCTAGGGGTCGACCAACAACTCCGCTACGGTGGTGACACCTATGAACTAACCGATCAATTCGCCGATAGCCTCGGAGACTTGAAGGGTGAATTCGCTTTCTCGATGAGCAGGATGGGAGGGCTCAAGGTTCTCACCGGAACCAAAGGCCAGATAAGAAGGGATTGCCGCGTCGTTAACAAATAGATCTACTTTTTCGTGTCAACAACGACATTATATATATATATATATATATATATATAGATAAAAGTGAGATCGATGATGATCATTTTGTATAATTCATACGCAAACTCCATGTTCTTGTATGAAGTTTGCTTTGAATCTTTGCATTATATGTATTACTAATTACTTTGAAACACATGTGATATCGATATCTTACATTGGGGTGAAAGATCTATAACTTTAAACATACAAAAACACTAACCAAATTTTAAGGTTTATGAGACGGCAAGGACCGAGATTCTTGCCTGGTAAGTGAGGGCGACGACTTTACCGAGTGAATTGTTGTATACGATGTTGTAGTAGTGGACTAGAATCTAAGCCGGTAAGTAAGTGATAGTGTAAAATTTTATCTGTAAGTGCTTACAAGGTAAGTATTTGGTAAACGAACCCCTAAATATGAAAAAATGGACTAAAATATGCATGTAAGCCTGGAGTTGAGAGCAATGATGGAATATTTTCATGTGAATATTGAAAAAAGCAAATACGGTCAGGTTCAAACAAGAAGGCAGTCAATTTACAACAAGGTGAAAAGTTTCAAGATCATACATAATTAAATGTGATAAGAACGTTTATTCATATATAAGTAATCACATGTGTTGACCGGGATATGGTGGACGAGTATCTCCGCGACTTTTGATCACGTTCACCAAGTCGCTCGCGCCCCTTTTGGACGTGTTTAATCATATATGATTAAACATTCGTATCACATTTAATCATGTGTGATCTTGAAACTTCTCGCCTTCTCGCATGATCCTCATCACCAAACCAAACCAGTATATCTTATAGGCAAATAAGGATGGAACATTTTGATGTTAATCTGACCCATTACCTGTTATAATAAAAAAAAATCCGATCCCAACAAGAATTTCGAACCTTTCATGAGAATCAGAGGAGGATAAACATCTTCATTCTGGCAAAATCTTCAGCAGGCCTGAATAGTTCATGATACTTGTAAAGCATATCAGTTAAGATTCTTGGTCCTTGTCATATTCATCCGGTAAATAATCTCACTTCATAGGCGATTACCCGGTTGGTAAGTGTAACGGACCCTAAGCCAACTACATATTGATGAGCCTCGTAGGTGTTGCATAGAAGAGTTGTTACCTGGGTGGGTGGTTCACAGCATAGAGTTATTCAAGGTGGAGGGTGTCAGAATCTGAGATTAAGCCACAAATATTAGATTCTGGAGTTAGGCTACGAATGTGCAGAGTCAAATATGGAGCCAAAAACTTACAAATTGTTGAGTATGTTTGAGCTATTGGGATCGGTGGCCGGTTGTAACCGGTTAAAGACCCGGTTGTTTACCCCTTTTTAATCTCTAGATGGGTTTGTAGGCCAATGTTACAAACTCAAAGACACATCAGATGGTAGTTATTCAAGTATCTTGAAATGTTATAAAACCAAACACCAAGGTGGCATTTGTTTTTCTAAGAGATGTTCAGGTTTGATTTCATTTTTAATTTATAAGAAGTAGTCCTAAAGTCTGAAATATGGATCAACAAAATTATTTGTTTTTATTTCTAAAGTTTGAACTCTGAATCAGTCAAACTATTGTAAAACATAAAAGATAAATAGTTTTTTTTTACAAAAAGTATAAAAGATGAACGGTTTTTACTAACAAATCTCTTCTGGCCCCTCAAAATATGAACCATGTGATAGAGGGCATATTAGGATTAAGAAGTATTAAGCGATACATTTACCACTTAAAATTTCAGAGGACACGAATCAGAGTTTAGAGGTATTAAGAGATAATTTTGAAAAAACAAACATACCCCATATAACCGGTACAAATGAAATTCAATCCAGCAGATAAATTATTAAGATTCAGCAACAAAACAAACAAACAAACCTAATAAGGTAGGGTTTGGTGTGATTCAACAATCAAACAAACCCAATAAATCACAGACAACATTAGGAATTGACAAGATTCAACAACAAAAAGAATCAATCAAACCCAATAAATCATAGACAATGTTTGGGGTTTGATAGGATTTCAACAACAAAACAAAACAAACCTAGTAAATCCCGGATAGAGGCAGGGTCAATGAAGATTTAGCACTAAAACAAGCTCTATAAATCAGCATCTGGTAAGCTTCAGCAACAAAAAGAACCAAGTAATCTCACATGGAGGTGTATGTTTTGGTGAGATTAAGCAACAGATCCAATAACATCCGATTCCAACGACGACTTCTTTCACCCTTTCATGAGAAAAAGTATGAACCCTGAGGAGAATAAACATCTTCGTTCTAGTATAATCTCCGGCAGCCCTGAAAAATTCATGATAGTTGATAGAGTTTGATTCAACAAAGTAGGAGATTCGAGGTTGGTCTCGAGAGGATATGCTAAAAAATCGAAGAGAATGAACTCAGAAAGAATGCATGAAATGGATAAACAAAGAGAATGAATTCAGAAAAACCGATTAGGTTAACGCCAATGGATTGATCACGCAAGCAACTTCTTCAAAAACACTACGAACATACACACGAACTTTAACACTAGCATTTAAAATTTTGCATTTGGGCCAACGGTTTTTGCAAAACTATGTGTCATTGTTGTGAGTTTGTGTACATTAATGCAATAGTCATTAACATGTGGATATATGAAACCCAAACCAATCAAACGAACACAATAAATACCACATGTAGTAGGATCTGGGGAGGGTAAGATTTACGCAAACCTTACCTCTACCCTGAGGGGCAGAGAGGTTGTTTTCATTAAGACCCCAACATGTAAAAAGGTCGTTAGAAAATGATTTTGTGAAAGAAAAGTTGTCCCAAAAGTTCGATTACAGTATGAAGAACGGAAAAGGATACGAAGTAAAAGGTAAGAAACGGGGTTTAGCAGAGACCCCAGAAGCGTTGAAGAAAATGTAACTGGAACAAATAATAAAGCACTTAAACTTTAAAGAACAATAAAGGTACACAATCACTAAGTTAACTATAGTTTTCTGACCATTCTAGGTGTCGTACAGAAGAACGGTTACCTGGGTGGGGGTGGTTCACGGCATAGAGTTGATATTCGAGGTGGAGGGTGTAGGAATCTGACATTAAGCAAGTTAAAAGGCCACAAGTATTAGTTTTTGAGTGTGACTACGAATGTGCAGAATCAAAAATGGAACCAGAAACTTACAATTGGGGAGGAAGAAGAAGATGGTTGTGACGCCAGAGGAATATTGATACTGGTCAGATCTGGAAACATTACGATGTTACAAGACATAAATTTTATATGATCATCAACGAATCTTTTTGACGTCAAATGCTCGTTGAATAGATGCTCAATCTGTGCTTCTGATTCTTCAATCTGGCGAGAGTAGCGTGCTTCAATCTCGGCCATCTGTCGCTTAGGAAACTTTTGCAACAATGATCTGATCAGATCTTTCTTTGAAAAGATGGTTAAAACTTCATCTTTTTCTTGGTTGACCAGAGCCTGCATCTCTCCCGCACAGGCCTCAATCCGTGCCCGTGCCTCTCGTTCAAGCTGCACCTTTCTTTGGTTAACCGGCATTTGCATTTCTGCATATTTCTTCATTTGCTTGTTCAGCACCTCTAGTTCTTCCATAAGGTTACCAAAGGCTGCACTGACCCTTTCCTTTGTCCCAACCCCAATATGACTCGTTACCACCTCTAGCGATGCTTGCAATTCCGTTATGTGACTCTCAAAATCTTCCACCTGTTTGGCCTTCCTTTTTTCCCAGGCCACTTTCTGCCTCATTGCTCTCGTAAGTGGTGCCTACAAAGTATACAAGAATATCACTTGCTCCATCCGAAATCTATTGCCATCCTTTGTCACAAGACTATCTCCAATCAAATACCCTTCTTCTAGAATCAAAAATGTTTCAAGAGCTACTACTATATATTGAAGGTTACATATAGTATAGACTATAGAGGTTTGATTAATTGTGGTAGCAAGCAAGTGGAAATGGAATATAGAAAGAACAAATGAGCATTTGCATAAAATATAGAAGGCAATCGTCGTATTTGTAAATTTAATATCGAAGTGTCGTGTTGTGAAGGGGTCAAATAAGGGGGAGAAAAATGGTTCCAATTTACTATTAGACATAAATTTTACCCCCTTTGGGTTTTTATATATCATTATATTCTTTCCTAGAGCCAAACAATAAGATCTACAGAATTCCTAGAATTAAGAATATAGCATCCAGACGAAAGTACCTCAGGTAATTCCATGATGAACGTGGCGCTTGGAGAGTTCTCAAGCAAGAAGTTTCTAGCTTCAGTGCACATTTTTATTTTGTGGGCATCCTTCCTCATGCTGGTGTCTACGTTTACACAAATTAAATTGCTAAAAGGTGAAGGATGGTGCGATATTAACTCTGGATATGAGGAAATACACTGCACAGAGATGGGAGAAATAAATATGTCAAAGATGCATATGAATATATAGTATTCTACACTGTTGTACTATGATTAATGTCTAGTTGGGAACAACATGCCATGTGTATCAAAAAGCAAGATTTGCATATCTTTCTCTAGAAGGAAATTGAATAATAAGCCATGTATCTATCTAATAATTGGTTTCTTTTCATTTTTGTATTCATCCTTTCAGGATGCACACAATTTCCTTAGTTGAAATCTGGATGACCAAAATTTCCCCACTACATGTTATAAATGACATATATGATATAAACATACCTCCACAACGTCAGCATTAAGGGTCAGAAATCTGGCACTATGAACCCCATGAAGCATGTTAATTGTCTTGCGAGCAACTTCCTCCTTATATGGCCTACGTGAACGATAAATAGACAGATGGATAGACACTTTGTTAAGAGAATCAAAACCATATTCTTTCAACTGCACAGGAGAAGAACCACTGTATGTCAAAGATGAAAGTCCTGTTGGGGCATTCAGCTTCTTGATTGAGCAATTGGTTGCAGTGAGATTCTCAAGTTCAGGTGCAGTCACATTGATGTGGTTGAAATTGCTATTAGTGAGCGTGAGATTAGAAAGTTTAGGGGTAATGATGTCAAAAACCGCAACACGGTCAGCATCAAAAAGGTGTAACTTGAGGTTCTTCAAGTTCACACACTTGGAGAAAAGATCAACAGACATTTCAGTCATATCGCCACTGAATACGACTTCCTGGATATGCAAGGTTGTTAATGCTGGAAAATCCCAAGGTGTTTTGGGTAAAAGATAAGGTGAAAGATAAGTGCTCTTCAAGGTGAAACGTTGAAGAGACTGAGAGCTAAAAAGGCAAGGAGGAAATGCATGGTGTCTTTTGGGAGAAATAACCACATTTAATTCTTGAACATTGTGAGCAAATGCATAATCGGCAATCTTTCCCACAAAAAACTGACTTGCTGCTCCATGGAAAGTTAGGTTTAGTGAAGTCACGTCTATTTGATGGTTGCGATTAGACAAAACATGGGTGACGAATTTTGAAAACTTAGGTAAAGAACTAAAATCACCACTAGCAAAGTTGAGACAAGGCACGGATGTCCAGAGACGCTTCCATCTCGAAGACAGCAAACACGTTTGAACAGCAGATTTAGTGTCAATACACGATAGGATTTGGTGAATAAGCTCATTTGGCAAGCTGCTCAATCTATCTTCGTTCATCACGGGTCTAACATTCTCATGATCGAAGTCCATATTTTCTGCTATAATACTTCAAAGCTGTCAAGTGAAAAGAAAAGAAATAAGTTATCCAGCCTTTCTTGTGATTCCAATGTAGTAAAGTTTTAAGGTTGTTTGCTAACTTGGTAAATCTTTTATCAAACTGATAGGTGCACAATTGTGTTCTGACCTAAATGGATCTTATAAAGAGACCACGCTTTCTTCTCTGTTCCACTAATTAAAAATAAGAATCCAAAGGTGACACAAATCTACATCTTATCCTGATTTTTTTTTATTAAACTGGATATCCAACCCGCTATGCGAACCGACTAATCTCAGGACGACCACCTGCTTTGCGGGTAGCCTGGAGTCACCGCATTTGAACATCCATAGCCACAAGGTGATTTTTATTCCTACTTTGATTTGAACCTGGGACCTCCAGGTACTTTTGATCTTTGGAGACCAAGCTTAAACCAATCCGATTTTTCTTTTTCTATTAAACTGGAATCATTTAAGCACTAATCATACAGTGAATAAATGCCCAAATAACTATGAAGTTTAACACCATAAGAACACCGGTTAAATGCACATGATAACCATTTTTAGCAATGTACTTCCTATCATCCAATTTAGCAACACCCTGTATTATTTGAAAAATAAAATTTAAAGTATGCCATTATTTTGTGTAAAATGATGAAAGTACATTGCCTGCAATGGACGGAAATTCGAAAATTAAAGCATGTCGGCACTCTGGGTAAAAAATTATACATTGCCAGTAATAGGAATTTGCCTATTATACGGAGTTCTTGTGAGCATTTAACCGTAAGAGCAAAAGCAAAAATTATATTTCATAATAACAAACCTAGATAAAAGAGTGAGCTATGAATAATGATGGGAATCTTGATTCGCTCAACCAAAAACTCCCTGATTCTGATTTAATAGCTAATAGTACGATTGGCAATTAACGGTAGTGTATATATATATATATATATATATAGAGAGAGAGAGAGAGAGAGAGAGAGATCAATACAAGATAATAACAATAATGTCAAATGGGTTTCTTGACGCAACTTCAAAACTTGATAAGAACTGTTTTGATTACAGCTACAGTGATGATTACATCAAACAATCAACAAATATTCCATAAAAGTAACACTTAGAATCTAAAAAACTGAAACATCCAGGTCAAGCAAATAATTTGAACAGCAGATGGTAGAGCCTTTTAAAATCAAACTGGTCTCTTCCCGTGAACAGACGTAACTATTAATCATTTGCTAGGAATGCAGTTTCAATATAGATATCAGTGAAATTAACATGAACTCGCTAATTGAATAAACAAGATGAAACTGCTTCTCCTGAGTCCTGATTTTGCATATCTAACATTCTCTTAATCGATCAAGCTCCAATCAATTGATACACAGCGATTCATAGTCAATTAGAAAGTACTAAATCATCCAAATTGCAAAGTTGACGAATAGTAGAAATTTGATAAAATTTTATGCGTGGATGATGGAAAACTAGATATACCTTTGAATCTGTGAAGAAAGTATGCGGCCGATGCAATTTGGTTGATTCGATGATCGATCGTCTCTGAACCCTAACACCAAATCCCACGTCTGCTTTATATGCTCGTGCTGGGTAGGGATGAACTGAGAAAAGGGGTTGCTCCGGGGGTTATATAGAGACTAAATTATGGATTTAGTCCCCTTTCGTCCTTTTAAAATTCACTTATTACATGATGTGTCCTAATGTATGCAATTTATTTAAATTTGGTCCCTTTCTCTAACGTCCATTTAATATCTCCGTTAAATACGGAATCATTTCTTATCATTTTAACATCTTTTTGTTTTCTTATCCTTCAATCTTCTTCTTCAACTTAATCAAATAAAATCTATTAAATTAAAAAATGTTACAGATTCAAACTTAGGAAAAATCAAAGAGTAGTTCATGCCTTGAACCTAAGTATGAAACTTATGAAAATGTTACAGGGTAAATTATCGAATCGAGGTCTGAAACTCACCCCACCTCGAACCCAGACCTGAAACAACACCCACCCCAAACCTGTATTTAAACAAGCGTGATATTGCTTTGTAAAATTGAACCAGAGTGATTTCGCTTCATGAAATTGAATCCGGACCCTAGGCATGGCAAAAAATCAAGGTGAACTCAGTATATCATTGGGTTTAACCGAGATGTTATAGATTGCGTACATAAAGACTTATCTTGTAATAAATAAAGATTAAGGATCAAACTATAAGCACAACTGATTTCACATTAAAAATTCAAACCGTTGAAAACTGAATGTGATATACTCCGATTCTCATACCAAACTAGCATCCAAAACATAAAGTCTACATGTGTTTTGTAACTTAAAAGACTATCCACTTAGTTATGATGTTAGTCTAAGTACTTTCCCACCACACATTTAGAATGAAGATATAAACCAAAAAAGCACTAACAACGTGCACCCTTGTTCTTAGACGTATATTCAAGTACCCTGTGGCATGTGCTTTTCTGCTCGATCGAGGTCATGGAACGCCTTAGCCTCAATGATTATCCATTCCTTACACATGTGATCTCCGAGAATAGCAACTATGTTTAATACTTAAACCGTAACCTTTTGAATTTAATTAGTTTTCCTTTTAATGTCATTTTAAACCCACTTCTCCAATCATTTAATGGGTTTCTTGTGAATGTCTCCATGTGGCTTATCACGAGGATAAAAGCAGTAATGATTGTTGGTACCGATCATCAGTTTCATTTTGAGCCTATTTGGAGATCTCTTGTCACCAGTAGATTCAAGATACTTGACATATGTGTTGCCCTACAAATTAGTGTACATTAGTTGCTTTATCATATAGAGATCCGCTCCATAGTAAATATAGGAATATAATATATTGAACCACATTTTTTTACACTCAAGCAATTGATTTATGCGTACACGATAAATAATGACCATATTCATGATGAATATGTTAACATATGTATGCTTATATTAAGTATGGTTTCGGATTCATGATGAATCTGTTCTACTCATAAACAAAATGGTTTCGTACTTCATGGTGAATACCAAAAAACAATATACCGTCTACGTATTCATCATGAATACTACACAATGTAATGTACAATTTAATTCATATGTTGGATGAATTTGATAATATTGTTATCTTCAATGAATTTAATAAAGAGGGTAAGGATAAATCATTCAAGTTTTATCAAGGATAATTCATATAAACCAAAATAACGGACATTAAACAAAATCAGAGAAATATTTAGGATTTGATGGTTTAGAATTAAATTATCTATAATCAAGGGGGTTTCTTGTTTATCCGTTGAAAATTATACTAAATTACCCTTAAATTTTAAATTTATGCACCTAATTCCATCCGTTGGATCAAACAAAATTAATGGTTAAGATTAGTCCCTAATTCTATAAAATAGTTAGGGTTCCTAAATGAACCGCCCTCTATAGATATATATTATATTATATATTTATATTTTATATATTATATATTTCTACTGTAATATATATAATATTTTTTAAAAGTGTTGTATATCATATTCTAAACATAATATACATTCACATATTATAAATACATTATATATTACTAGAATGTTACTCGCACAATGCAGCGAGATATATCTCGATTTTAATGTTTTTTTTTTTTTTGTCTCAATAGATGTTATAATACGGATTTATGTGGTTTTGAGAAATCGATAATGTTTTTATATTTGAATAAAATATAGATTTGAAGATATCATAGAAAATTGAAAATAAAAATATTAATATTAGTAGCAAACTAACTATTTAAAGTTTCTTCTTTTTTGTATTTCTTTAATTCAATTTTTATTTCTTGATTTAATAATATTTTTTTTATAAGTATAATAATCAAGTATTTTATTAGAGGTCAAAGATCATTCTAATTATACTTTAATTTTTTATATTTAAAATGATATATTTATTCTTTATTTGATTATGTTTATCTGCAATAAGTTACACGAATTCAAACATAAAATTTTAATAAATTGTACTTATACACAATTTACTTGTAATCTTGAATTTTAAGTAATATACATCAATAAACAGTAATTTATGTATAAAAAATGATTTTTAAGAGTTTTTGTCAAATACTGTATAATATAATATAGATTATTGTAACATTGACTTCATCTTTATATTATTATATATGTCTATTAATATCCATATCTATTTATAGTATATATTATGTTTATTAGTTTATACAGTATATAAAAATATATTTTATATTCTAGGAAAATATAATATATGTTTTTTTAAATTGTGCAGAAATTACCATAAATGAATGTAATAATATTATATAGAAATAAACATTTATAATTAAAATAGTTAATTAATTTGCATCGCTCATAACTATCACATGATTAAAAAAATTAAAAGAATTTGAAAAGCTATCTGATTATTTAATATTATTTTCTTTTATTTTGTCATATCCAAACTATCATTTTTTATACGTATGAAAAACGCGTAAATCTATTTTAATTTGGTCTTAAGAGGTTGTTTGACAGTTGCTGAATGGTTTGATACATAATGATTAAGTAGTCAGATTGATTAAGTGAGTGTTTGAGATTGCTTATAAAAACAACTTATTGACTTATTCCGGTGTGGTACCGGTAATAAACACTTTTGAGTGTTTGGATAAACAACTTATACCGGTATCAAACCGGTAATAATGAGTTTTCGAAAAAGTTAAACTCTTCTGACTTATAATAAGTTGATAAGTGCTTTTGTAGAAAAGCATAAGTTATTTCAAATAAGCAATCCCAAACACCCCCTAAGAGACTCTTATAATATAATGCAAAATGAAATATAATTATTTGATAATTATTCAGAATGAAATTAGGGTGATGAATGGTTAAGGGGGACGCAAGATACAAAATCATTCAGAGAGTTTTAGAACCATTAAAAGGTAGACTTTTTTTTTGTCAAACAAGATTCATCTCTCAATGATTCAGATGTTGCCTCTTAATAGAACTATTAAGATGTAAACAAACAACCCCTTATTCAGTCCAATTTAGTGCAATCACATCCCTTAAAAAATAAAATGAGTTTGAAGTATATAAAAAAATAAGTTGGTATCATGGTACTACCGTGATACGTTACTTCCAATACAATGTACCAACCAAGTTTGCATACTCATAACGGTACTACCAATCAACTGCAATTGGTACCAATTTAATTTGTACGATTTGGTACATATGTTGAGGTTGGGGGGGGGGGGGGAGATGGGATTGAACCCGAGACTTGTTTTATATTTGTGCAAAATCGGGTCACCCTTCATTAACTGAGTACACTCCAGAGACAGTATTTATCATTATATAACAGCCTCTAACCTCAACTGTAATCAATTAATCAGTTTTGATTGTTGCATTTGAATAATTAAAAGAACGCACATCTAAACATTAAATTTTACCCTAATTGCATGCTTCAAACAAAACTCTTAAGATTCTTTTCAAAATTATATAAGAGAAAATTACACGATGTTCAGAATTTTCTAGATGCGTTGTTGATGTCTCAGTCGATTTATACTAGTTAAAATACTACTGTTTATCTGACAAATGTTCTTTTATCAGAAAAATGTAACAGTGGATTTGACATGTAATCTCAACTTTCTAGCATGCCTTCAATTTTCATTTTTTTTACATTTCTTATTTCATACATGTCGTGATGTCGGACAAATTGTTGCATGTTGGTTGGCCCTTGTGTCGAATGGGATGGCATGGGCACCGACAACCATTTAGGGGTTGTTTATCAAATGTTTACCCAGGCAAGCACTTATCAAATCATACTACCTCACTGGATGGATATAGTGAGGACCAAAAATGTTACCCGGTAAGAGCGAGATAAAGATCAAGAGTCTACCAGGTAAGTGAGAGCAACGACTCTTACCACGGTAAGCGCTTACCGGACTCTTGCATACGATGTTGTTTTGGTGAACCAAAATCTTACCCTGTAAGTAAATAATAGTGTTTAAATTTTTTCGATAAGCACTTACCGGATAAGTGATTGATAAACGGCCCCTTAGTGTCAACTTTATAGTATTAGAGTAAGAGATAAATAGCAGTATCATTGTGGTATGTAACACTCTCATTTTCACCATGGGTTGTGTCATGTCATTCTCGTTAAATAACAATAAATAATCCCAAAATATAATGGCTCACAAAGCCCTGTTACAACGGAAGTCTTACAAAATTTAAATAAAACTAACGACTCAACATTAACCCGTCCATATCGGGTTACATTACAAACCGAGTTCAAACTTTAAACTAAACGTCCCAAATTTAACAGTAATATAATTCTCTAAACGAGAATCTTGCACTTTTCCATCCTTGAACCTCTTGCTCATGTGATGTATACTAATAATCATCTTTACAAAGCTCAGTAAGTTTATGGTTTTCATGCACAATCATACAAGTCTCATCATGCATAAAATAGACAAGTACCCCAAATAAAATAATATGCACATTTACTTCAAAACCCCTTTAAATAATTACGAGATCTCATTCTATGTCCCATCGGGTAAAGATCTTACTGTCCTCGGGTTATACAACTATTCCTTGTCCGATCACCCATCCCTAAAAAGTGTCTTTCCT